GTATGCATGTATGCATGTATGCATGTATGCATGTATGCATGTATGCATGTGTGTATATATATATATATATATCTGTAGTCCATAATATAGTGATGATTTAAAAAAAAATTAGTTGAGCACATGGGGGCCATGATCGCCCCCCCCCACCCTTGCGCGCGCTCAGCGGGCCACGGTAAAATTATGAAAGGCTGACTGGTCCGCGGTGATAAAAAGGTTGGGGACCACTGAATTAGAAGACACTGCAATTATGGTAAACAACTTATCCTGATATAAATAAGAAAACTGATATAAATATGAAAAATGACGAATTAGTTATTACAATATCTGGTTGGAACAATAGTCAAAATTATCTCTTTAGCCTTGATAACCAAAATATGTGCCAAGTGAAGTGGGGAGGAAGAATTCATTTATTTTATGCTAAGGAAGACACATTGAAATAATTACTATTTATTTATTTAAATCCCACCTTTGCTATTTTTGACAAATGCCACAAGCATCGAACATATCCAACACATTTTCTTTGGCTGTTTTTCCCATTCCAACAATTCTGTGAGGTGAGTTGGGCTGAGAGTGACTGGCCCAAAATCACTCAGCTGGTTTTCAGTAGAACTTGCATGGTCTCCTGCTTTTTAGCCTGGTGCCTTAATCTCTAGACCAAACTGGCTCTATATGTCTCTATTTTTGATTCCAAAGTATTGACAGATTTGTGCTCTTTGATATATAAAGAAAATTTCATTATAAAGTACAGAATTACAATACTGATTAACTAAAAATAATGGAAAGAACAGTTTGGGGCAGAAAATAGAGCACATTTTCATTTCTATGTGGCTAATGTTGGCACATAGTGAAAAATAAAAGAAAGCACAGATTTACTGCTGTAGATACTCTTTTTGATAACATTAACTGTAAACAATGGGCATAATTTGGAACACCAGAATCAGGAATTTATTTTACACCTATGTATATAAACTGATAGACATAGAAGGTTGAAAGGAATGCGACATAACTAGTTAGATTTCTTGGGTGTATTCTAAGATTGCAATTTAGTGGATCATATTCAATGATGGCTATCATCTTGTGGTAAATGTCACAGCTGAAAACTTGCAGTTTTTCTCACCCTATGAAGTAATTTAATAAAAATTAATTTCAGTGAAATTAACCTTCTTTTCATAGACCTACATTCTCACTATGCATTTGTTTTTTACAGCCTATTTGTCTCTGGAGTAAGAAAGTAAGATTTATAGGATTTTGATTTTTTTCATGTTACAAACAGTTAAAACGCTGAAATCGGACTTAAAGGTGCAAATTATTTCTTCAATGGCTTGATTTAAGCATTAATTCCAAAGCTTTGAAATTTAATACCAAAAGAAAAATGAAAGAGCATTCAGTTTTTCAGAGACATTTTCTAGAGGTCTAGGTGAATCTGAATATAGAAAATACTGTAACCAAGATGCCTAAGTGTATTTGCTAAGAATTCTTGAGGTATAAAATTTACAGATATAAATACTTCTATAATTTGGAACATGGTGCTTTACATAGTAACTTGAGAGTTTGCTACAGAGTATGTAAAAATAGATCTACTTATTAAAACAGCACTTTTTCTTAAATATTTATTTGTAGTCTCTGCGTTATGATTTATAAGTGAGAAAATATTCTTCAGTAGAAATAAAGGCTTTCAATCTCTCCTCATTCTTATAGTTTTCATATTCAATCTCTTTAATGCCTTTTGAAAGAATAGCAGGTTATTTGGGTTGCTGTAACACACACACACACACATTCTCATGAAAAAACAAGAAGGTTATCAGGTTTTGTTGATTGCTTGTTTAACTGATTTGTCTCTACCCTTTTGTTCTTACCTTACCAATTCTCTGGTCAAATTGATCAACAAATTTACCACCATGGTAAAGGAGGAGTTTCAAAGGAACTTTCAAAGGAAAGTTAAGGGAAGAGAAACTGTTATGTTACTTGTTGCAAGTTTATCATTTCCAAGGAATGTTTACAAAAGAGAGAGGCTGTTGTATTTATTTTGTTATCAAGCTGCAATGTAATAGGTAACTCAACCCTTATGTTCACTAAAAATGTAATGTATTGGAGTAAGATACAGTAGGCTTGGATTTTTCATGCCTTATTTTTCTAACAACTACTTCAATTATCATTTGTTTTGGATCCAACTAATGGATTATGTCCATTCTCAAGTGAGTCAGTCTAGTTTGATTTTAAAAGGATCAATTAAAGCTCATTTGAAAGTAAAACTGTAATAAGACTACTTTTTGATGTCGTTCTGCATTATTATGCTTTTTTATTTAGCTAATAAAATATATTTCAGTGCAATTTTTGCATATATTTTGCAGTTTATTAGAGGTTATTTTTTTTTAGGATATAAATGTTGTAATTCATCTGGGTTCTATTTTGAAATATTTGTGGCTTTCTGCTATATCATTTTTATTTTAGTTTTCCCTAATGTTTATTCATGAAATGAATGTTAATTCTAGATACAAATATGCATCTTACATGTGGATTTTAATTGAAACACAAGGTTATTTAGATAGAGCCGAGGTGGCACAGTGGTTAGAGTGCAGCACTGCAGGCTACTTCAGCTGACTGCAGTTCGGCTGTTCAAATCTCACCGGCTCAAGGTTGACTCAGCCTTCCATCTTTCCGAGGTGGGTAAAATGAGGACCTGGATTGTTGGGGGCAATATGCTGACTCTGTAAACCGCTTAGAGAGGGCTGAAAGCCCTATGAAGCGGTATATAAGTCTAACTGCTATTGCTATTGCTATTTAGCAGCATTGTTTCTTTTAGATAAATTAGCAAATAAATCTAGCAAATTGAATATAACTAATTCATTTTTTTTTTTTAAAAACCCTACTTGTACACAAACAGATTGAATAGAATACATTGTTTCCAGGATATCTGAAAGAAAAAAAGTTGCATTTATGTTACACTGTAATATCATCTAGATTCGGTGAAGTTTGGGGTGCATAGGGGAATGGGTTCCAGCATTCAGTTGTGTTGGCAGAAACAGCTTGGGTGAAGTATGCTACTAGATGAAAATAAACACTTAACCTTATATTTTTTGGACAAGTTGAAATGTGGGCATTTTTTTTTTAAAAAAAAAACTTATTTGGTTTGAATAGAAGGTATAGTATAACTTGTCTCCTTACTTGTCCCTGACTAAACCAAATGCAATGCCCTGACTGTAAGAAGGGGACTGGAAAATTTGACCTTATATTACTTGTAACCCTACAATTCTGTGGTTTTGTGTTACTATATAATGAGAAGCAGTAAACACAGGATTTCCATTGCACTACAACAGAAATTATTCACTCTGTTATTTGGATGCTACGTCATTTCAAGATACATGGTGGAATAAAGCCAGCTCATAAGATTAGAGCATGCAAGATCTATCATGCCATATTACAACTAATTAAAATTAATGCAATGTTGTTATTGCATAGGTACTGCATGGGCTAAACTTAATGTACCAAGATGTTTGAAAGAGTAGCTATAGAATATCCTGGAACTGATTTAAAGTTTGTAACAATTGGACATCTGAAGCACTAAATTTTTAGTACCTGATAAAATTATTATCTGTCCCTTGGTAAAAGAGAGAGAGATGTACTTACTGGTAAGAATTTTATTAAAAAAGAACCACTTGAATAAGAGCATAGAGTCAGTGCATCTTAGTAGTTTGCTTTTTTAGTAGTTCTT